CCCCCCCGACTAAGGTGGCACCAGTTGTCCATGTCTGCTGGGAAGCTGTACACTCTGGTAGGGGCTGCGGCAATCAGTGGGTGTGGGTAGGAGTGAGTTGCAGGCTGCCCTGGGGGGAGTGGGTAGGGCTTGGCCCCTTGTGGAATACTATGGGGGCAGCTGTGGGCCAAATATAATCAATTGGTGGGTGCCTGCTGGTGGGCTAGATCTGGCCTGCAGGCCATATTTTGCCTGCCCCTGATCCAGACAGTTTCATTGCTTCTGCAATGTGTCACACGGTTGTTAGAACAAGAAATGTTCAGCTGTGCTGTAGCTTTCCTATTTGACAAAGACTTACTGGCCGTAAAGATGGCATGTCAGATTGTAAAATAAAGAAATATACAGATATGCCAGTGGCCTGGACCAAAAGATCATTCTCTGGTACTATCTGACTCCAGTGATTTGCCATAAAACAGAGGTGGAGTTTTAGCTTCGGTGGTGATTTGAAATTCGTCATTAGAAGCCAGTGAGTTCATACTTGGATCCAGGAGGAAAGAAAGGATTCGCTCAGCTCTCGTGAAGCTGTGGAATGTGATTCCCGTGCAAGGAAACCACGATGACCACAAAGCTATGATGTCGGCCTTCCTCATCTCTTTGTCTGCAATGATTTGGCAACTAAGGAGAGAACTGGTGTGCAGGCCTGAAGTAATAAAAAATAAACGACATAACCCCGGGGTCCATACAACTCAGTCCTAAGTAAGGTTTATGCTTCTGTCCAGGTTTCGGAGAAGCTAGCAAAGCTAACTGCACTTTATTGTACATCAGCAGATGCATGACAAACAGAACCAAGGAGGTGATACTTCCCCTCTATCAGGTGCTGGTCAGGCTGCAGTTGGAGTACTGCGTCCAGTTTTGGGCACCACACTTCAAGAGGGTAACCTGGAGAGGGTCCAGAGAAGGGCCACTTGTATGGTTAAGGGCTTGCAAGCCAAGCCCTACAAGGAAAGACTAGGGCACCTGGACCTCTTCAGCCTCCGCAAGAGAAGGTTGAGAGGCAACCTTATGGCTGCCTATAAATTCACCATGGGGGCACAGAAGGGAATAGGTGAGGCTCTACTCACCAAGGTGCCCCGGGGGGTTAGAAGAAATAATGGCATAAGCTAGCAGAGAGCAGATTTAGACTGGACGTTAGGAAGAACTTCTTCACAGTTACAGTGGCCAAAATCTGGAATGGGCTCCCAAGGGAGGTGGTGCTCTCCCCTACCCTGAGGGTCTTCAAGAGGAGGTTAGATAGGCATCTGGCTGGGGCCATCTGAACCCAGCACACTTTCCTGCCTAGGCAGGGGGTCAGATTCGATGATCTGTTGAGGTCCTTTCCGACCCTAACATCCATGAATCTATGAATAAGTTGGCCACCTCACTGAAGGTGGCCTTCCAGACTGAGCTCGAGCCCCAACTGGCGGGAAGGTGCCTGGACGGGATGCGGTGCCCTCCTGCTTGGCTCTACCCCTCTCACGCCTTCACCTCCCACCCACTGGAACTGCCTACTGCTTGCGGCCCTGGCGGGGGTGGCACCTTGCTTGCTGCCCCGGCGCAAATCAGCCCCGTGCCCACCGCCTGCTGCGCTTCCAGCTCCGA